TTATTAATTTTCTTAATGCTTTGTTATTGGCATTTTTCAATATGTTGTATATTATTTAATCGTGAAGCACTTTTACGTGACAATACTATTGTTACACGATATCGTCGTCAAGTCGCACAATTACTTATTGTTATAATAATAACTTTTTTTATACTTATTTTACCACATAAAATTTGGGCTTTTATACAACAACGATTAAGTGTCGAAGAATTTTTCCAAATGGGTTTTCATCGCCATTCATTTATTATTATTTCAACACGTTCGTTATTATATCTCAATTCAGCTGTAAGTATGGTTACTATTTTTAGAAATGACTATGTTTTTGTTCTTGATTTTTAAGTATATTATTTATATAATTATAGAAAGATATAAGAAGATTATCATTTCCTATGTAAATACTACCTGGATGATAATGGATCGTATATCAAAACTTTCAAAATGCATAATATCTAATATATCTTGTTATTTAGCACTTCGATGCAGATTTCAGTTTTTTTTTCTCTTGCTAATGTACTGCTAACCTATCTAAATATTGTACTTGTAAGATGAATGTAGACAAGAAATTTATTAGTTCATAAATATGTTTCCGATTTGTTTTTTGTCTGATCCATTAATCCTATATAACAATGTTTTTTTATTAAACAAAAATTGCAATAAGTTTTCTTATGAATAAATGAATTTTCTTTCTCATTTTTGTTGTATAGATTAATCCGTTGTTGTATTCAATAATGTCAACAAAATTTCGTCAAAGTTTTTTTCTACTATGCGATGATTGTCGTCGATCAACAAAAGGTCAACGTTTGGGTACTGTATTTTTTTCTAGAGAATATGTTGGAAGGCAAATTACATATGGAAATGGAAATGGTGGCGATGGTACAATATCGATAACAGGAAAAATCTCATATCAACAACCTAATATAGGTCAATTTCAAGAGAAAAAAAGTCTTCTTGCAAAAATTGTATCAACGCCAATAACAGGAACTCCTCCGATGGATGTTACAAAATCCAGTTATTCCGAAAGTGGTATTTGAAATATTTGAAAAATAATATGACAATATGTTTTATTGTGTATATATAGATATATATGTGTTGTTTTAATGTTGTTATATTAACCTTGTGAAACAAGATGTAAATACGAAATATATTTATTTCATTACATAAACCTAAGTAAAATATCTCTTGAAATTGATTTATATGTTTAATTCAATAGAAGTTTTTATTTTTATTGAAAAACAAAATAATTATGGGTTATATCGATGAGCAGACTAAATATTTTACTCATGTTATTCCCGAAGATCGATTAGTATCCTTTAGAAATGAAAGCTGGAATAAATAATAACTGCAATTAAGTACTTTTTTTTGTTTTAAGTACAGTGACCTTTTATTGAAAAACTTAGATGAAAAATTCCTTTGTTGCCGATAAAAAACTTTATTTAGTTTCATAATTCATATTTTTGATATTTCTCTCATCATATGATAGTTGTGTTCTGTCGCTTCTAGTAGTTGAACTGCAAAATAGTAGCTGATCAATAAATAACTATTTAAAACTATTTCTTAGATTATCTTTTAAAACTTCAGAATTGCCTTATTTTTGCTTTTTGATAGAATTTAGAACAAACATAAGATATTTTTGTCTATTCATTTGTACATTATCTCATGGATCATTTAAAATAAAAAAAATAAAATAAAATCTACATTTTGAATATCGTAACCTAGTATTCGTATTTCATCATCGACGTCATAAATGTACTTTTCTATTGAAAACCAAGAAAAAGTTTAATCTTAATAAATTTATTATGTAAAATAAATATATAATACTCAAATAAACAAACGTATACATTTTAATCAAAAGAGCATTAATGTTTCAGAACATTTCTTCATATTACATGTAGAGCAGTTTGTTTATTAAATTCTTGACAGTTATAATATGAAAACAATTTTTCTATTAATTCATATTATCTATACATGACTCTATGCAATTATAGACATCTATCTATGATATTAGATAACTTAAGCTTGACATAGGTGTCTGATTTTCCATTACTTTTAAAGTATGATATTCATTTTAATAACATATGTTATTAAGACTCATATGATGTAAATGAAATAGAAGAGCATCCTATGGTTGATTAATTTTGAATAAATACTTGACAAAAAAAAAACTAAGTCAATTAAAATAGACTATGATCTAAATATCAGTAGAAAAAAAAGTATATACATGATCGGTCTAAAAATTGAATGATCAGTATTTAATTACAATTATCTGAATTAAATCAGACATAGATGTGGATTCTAAGGGGTTTTCATTTCATACACACCTACACTCACACACTCCTATGATCATCGTGATTAGTATAAGCTTTATAAATGGTAACTTTTTTCACTATCTGCATGATACAACAGATAAACACTTGCCCTAGATTAAGGTTCACGATACTTGGTTTTGTTGGATCTGTAATAAACTCTTCTTCCATTTTCCGTATAATCCTTTTGCTATTCATTTTTAATTGATGCTTTTACTCCATCAAAATTATTAAATGGAGACTCGCCAATCTAATAATTTAATTTTTGTTTTTTGACAAGACCTTTCGTTTCCATTTATTTCATCATTTTCATATCGAGTAATTTGTATCATGACCATCTTTTTTACTCGTGGATTCTAAGCTGAAATCAGAAGAAAGGATAGGAGCAAAGAATTTCTACATCTCTATCGTACATAGCATCTGTACTACATGATACAAGGAATCAAAAAAAAACCTATGAATTACATATAATGCATTTCAATTTCTACGCTTATCCTTGAATTTAATTGACTGCTAATAAATTTTATTGACTGATTTTTTTAAGAAGCGAGAGTTTAGAGTAGAGGAAAGACCCTCCACCCTAATCCACTCTACACTCACTTTTACTTGCAACTCTATCCTATACTCATTCTCACTACTCATCTGTTTATTTCTTTTTGTTCAAATAATTAACGGAGATTAAACCCCTATATAAGAAAACTCCTAATTGAAATATATTTTTATGTAATCAACGGACAGTAGATCGTGTAAACTAAAATATATCGTCACATGATAATCGAGATTTTGATAAACTGTACATAAATTTAATAGTCAGAAATTAGAAGACTTTGATTCAAAGAAACATTCTATCATTGTAAATGGAATTTTAAGAACTGAAAAAAAAATTTCAAGTCGAGCACTTGCTCCCCGTTTTTTTTTCTAAATCAAGAGAACACTTGATTTCATGTCGTATTTTATGAAATATCCCATTTATTTGAAAATCTTCTGGTATATAATATAAAATATTTCGATGATCTGTTGAAACTCAATCTGGCACTACTTTTATAAGAGCATTTTTTAGTGGTTTTTTGTCATTGAAGTCATGACAGTGCTAAAAGGCGATCTCAGCTAACTCTTCAAAGAAAAGATATTAGAAGCTAAAATTTTGAGGTTCTGGATGAAAGTATGAGTGTGGACGTGCTTGTGAATGATTCATCCTCGCACCCACATCCAAATTCCCAAATACTTGATGTAAAATTTTTTCAAACTCAAATCACCATCTTTCTCACTTCATATCAAAACTATTTTCTTTAAAGAATTTTTTTATTGTATTTTGACACATAATTATTGTCTTTTTTTTACATCCTTTTCTCATCCATATGATATAGTTATAATTTTGTATTCTAATCCCTATGTACGAATCTTATTTATGAAATAAAACATTTCAGAATAATAGAAGCATACCAAGGGTGTTGTATATAGTCTATCTAAACCGTATATGACAATAAAATAGTGTAAATAAGCGAATCTATGGTCCTAATATGGCTTATTGTTTTTTGTCGAAAACGGCTCTAAATAGTGTCATTCATCTTATAATGCAAAATGCTGTCACCTGGAATGAGACATACAGGATGGCCCAAAAGTCATACATCCAACAAAAAAAAATTGAATATCTCCATTAAGGCTTGAGCAAACAAGCTGATTTTTTGTCAATGATAGAGGTGTATGTTCAAGGTTTATATCCATAAAGACAAGCCTAGAGAGACCGTTCGTTAAGTATCACCATTGATCTCAACAAAAAAAATTTTATTTTTTCACAGTTAAGAAAAAAAACAATATACATGACAAAGGATCTTTCTAGGCATGTCTTTATGGATATATCAGTGATAAAAAAAATCAGCTCATTTGCTCAAGCCTTAATGGAGATATTCAATTTTTTTGTTGGGTGCGTGGCTTTTGGGCCACCCTGTATATTTATGCTTTTGAGAATGTTGTTTTGAGTATGAGTATGTTTCTTCTCCCTATCTGCACCTAATCTATTAGTTTTTGTATGAGAAGGCTAAAAAATCTTCAATCAAGTCTCACATCAATAAAAACAATAAATTGAAAGAAAAAAGAATATAATACGTTTATCTGTAACAAATCATCAGGAAGTGTCTAAAGATGATTGTAGAATATTTTTGTTAATTTGGCATAAAAATGGGATGAAAACGACGATTGAGTGGCACCGGTTATCCTTGACGATTACACAATGTGCCTAACGGATGTTGTTTATTATCACACTTGGTCATTTTATAATATATCATATAACGATTATGGTAAAAAACAGCTACTTTTTGACGTTTTCATATAGTTTACAAATCATTCAATGTAACATGACTAGTCAAAAATTTCTAAAAACTAATAATTCCACATTTGAAAAACACTATTCACACTATTGCGTTGGATATGAATATCCTTGAAGAAAAGTCAATCAGCGATACTCACCATCACACTCACATCCTCTTCGAAGTGAAAACAGAATCCTAGATTGTAACTATGGGGCTCTATTTGAACAAATAATAAACAATTGAAAAAAAAGACTCCTTCATAGTAGAAGTTAACAAAAAACAAATCGAGTGAAAACTTCATCGTAGCTTTCCAAAGTCCAAAGAACTTCTGTTTTCTTCTTGTATTCATCTTTCATCCACTCCTGAGAGTTAATCACCTGGAGTATTCTTATTCTTTCCTAATAATATCAAGTGCTCGTGCTAAATAACCACTTCGATATCGATTTTCATTTTGAATTAAATTAATCACATCACTGACAACTTCATCCACATTTACTCTAATTGATCCTTCATGTATACAAACATCACCTTTATCTCCGGGACTCCATAGTGCATGTTGTAGATTGAATACCTCCACCCAACGCTTATAAAAGAATGTCAATATACGACAACCAGGTGGTGTGATTTCATAGACAACCGCACCTGGCCGCATGAAAATAGTATTCGATAAGCCAGCTCCATGAACGCCAATAAGAACACGAATCGATCGAGTCATACGTGCTGTTTCATAGAGATCATCATTAAAATCGAATTGTTTTGGCCAAACACGTAGATAAGGATTCGTATGATCTGGAAATGCTTGCAATAGTGCTTGTACTAATTCATCAGCATTGATTAATTCTCGACGACCAATACCAGCCCGATTCAAAACAGCAATATATTCTCCAGTAAATGTCGTTTCTGTTGATGATGTACTAAGCGGTTGATTTTGATCACATTGTTCATAACAGATAGGTATTTGTTCTGATTTATGACTCTCTTGTAATTTCTTTTGAATGGGTGTCAATTCGAATTTGGAAGGTAATTCGAAATTATTCAATATCCATTCTGAAAAGGTTAAATAAGCTCGTCGATATTCTTCGATATTAAATGGATAATAACTTAGTAGTCTTTTCGGTTCCTGATGAATACCCCAGCAAGGAGATCGTCTATATGGCAATCCAGTGAAAACCATATGTTTGAACATAATTGTTGCTCGATCAAATGATCTGTAAGTTAATAATGGATAAATAGAAAACATTGCATTAAGTACATTAGGCCATCGAGTTGTATGTTTATAGGTTCCATCCGAAAGTCGTTTCATAGGTTGCCATATATTCTGCCCATGATCGGTATCCATTTTAGATGAATAATAAAGTTGAATTTTACTTGGATCAATATACGTTCGATGAGATTGAATTTCAGAGAGAGTCCAAAAAAGAGGACCACCTCTTTCAAGAAATCCATGAACATAATTCCCATCAGGTGCGCCACCTACATGAATGGATTGTGTTAAAATGGCTGAAACACCCAGCTGTTTTATCATTGTTATATCATCAAGGATATGCATTTGAAATTGACCATGTGAAGACATAAATTGATGTCGACTCATCGTCTCGTTTTCTGATGGATGACGATAATAATAGTAGGTATTCTTAACTGAAACGAAATAAATATTAGTTAGAAAACAATATTCACGGCTCGCGGGTTCCTTAGACGATGTATTCAAACATTTCCAAGACGAATATGGATAATCATCGAAATTCTTATTTCTAGTCCATTTAATATAGTTTTTATTGAATGGTTCTATAACATATTTTCCATTGTGTACGCGAACTATTTTGGGAAGTTTTGCTCGAATTGATTGAACTGATTGCAAATACGAATGTACTTCGTTGTAAAGAGATGAAGATATCCACCCATCTTCCATGCTATTATTCAAATACAATTGTTTTTCTCTAATCATGTGTATATTCGGTGAATATAGTGTCACTTCTGCTTTGTAATAATGATGGATGATGAATAAGAAAACGACGAATGTCCATAGACTGAATACTATTGTTTTTCGTCTTATCATCAGAGCGATCTTATGGATTAAATTAAGACTTGCATGTATAACAGAAGATAAATTTACGATAACAATACGAGTAATAATAATAATGAAGAAGTTTCTTCTCTTTTTACAAATTTGGCGTTGGTACGGTTAGTTTCTAGTTTTTGTTTTTTGCTACAATATGGATCAATGTCTAAATTTGGTTGGACGTCGTTCTCAATGTTAAGTAATTTTTTTTCAATTATACGTCCAATGAATCTGCTAGTTGTTTATAATCTTGATGATAGTGTGTCTCACAATCACCACTCTTTTATCCACATTGCGAGCCCTTTTAGCAATACGATATTCACGTGTCAGTTAATTCATTTATACAGTGTTTCTTTCCTTTTGTATGCAAAGCAATCGGTGCGTAACAAACATGAACACAATAGGTTGGTTACCTTGTTGCAATTTTTTTCTACTTGTGAAGTAAGCCAGTTGATTCTTCTTCGTAGAAAGAAAGTATAAAGCAAGGATGTTCGAACCAATGACTGAAACAGAATTGAATCGAATTCGAATTTGAACTGAACATTGGTACGAACGGATTAAATATATCTTACGATTGAAAAATGAATATGAGAGAATGCACACGAAATTCGAATACAATTACAAAAAACAATATTTTTTTAAACATTCGACTATTCATTGCACTTATCGTTGGCTTTTCAAGGTCTATTTTAGCTCGAATTCTTACACATATTTTTTTAATGTCAATTGTAGATTAACAAATTCAATTAAATATCTAAGATGGTTTTCGTTTTTTTTCTATTACTTATTATACGTATTAATTAATCACACGCTGACGATGATAAACTTTTGATCATATCATGTTTAAATATTTTATTTATCTCGCTTTCTTGGCAATGAATGCTCGTTCCATAATATGCATAGAATCTTGACAAAAAATAGATGATGATGATGATTTTTGCAAACTTCGACAAAAAGTTTCATAATTAGTTGTAATCGTTTCATGATGCTTATCAATTTCATAGTTTGAAGCTACCGTCTTTCGATTATGATTTTGTGATCACATTGTTCGAGTATGTTCATGAATTTTTCGCAATAAAAAAATTGCTATATCAAAACCACTCATCTTATAATAAATATATCCAATGTTGATAAGAATTTCAACGTATTCAACATCGTTACGTGATGGAAATTTTTTCAAATCTTATTTTGATCGTAGAACTTTAAATGTATTTCAAATTTTCGACATATGAACATTGTTTAAATATCTTTCTCACTTTTTAACAGTAGTTCAAAGCAGTCTCATAATCTTCTTTTTCATAATAACTCCAACCGATTGTATTGTGAATCATGACAAGTTCAATTGTCATATTGTCATTCGATGATTTTCTTTCTACTAATGATAACTCTCGAGTACAGTATACAATAGTCGAATTATATTCTGCTCTTTTTGTAAAAACCACCCAACAAAATGGTATAGTATAGCCACATTTGAAGTATTGCAATATTTTTCGTATAAATTTACAAATCTAAAGTAATTATTGATTATTTTCTGAACATCGGCTATTGCAAGCGCCAAAAAATGTTCGTAAAGACGAATGCATCGCTCATAATCGATTTTATGTACGAAATCATTGATCAAATCATCAAAATATCGGTTGGTTTTCTTTCTATCTTTTATTATTTTGACGAAATCACTTGCAAGTTTTTCCGTCTTGATTCGCACCAATCGTTTTGACAATCGATCATCGAATAGGGTCATCGTAAATGACTCTAACAATTCTAAATATGCATCTCAAATTGAATAGTATTTCTTGCTATGGTGAATATTGATTATATTCAGCAATATTAGAAAATATTAAGTTTCTTACCAATGGATCCATATCAATCTCAAATATTATATTAACTGCATACATACTGGCCATTCCCAATGATTCACTCGTAGAGAAATAAACATTTGGTGATATTAGACCATCAGATTTTAGCTTCTCTATTTGAGTATTTGTTAATTGAGCACCACGACAGACCTTGATGAATTCATAGAATCTTTGATTATATTCCTGTTCTCATTTCATTTTCAAGCACGTAGATAGATCAACGATGAAAAATCTCAAATGTAATAATGCATTAATATTTTTTTGTTCTAATTAATTTGTTCACTAATCTGTACACAAATGAATCTTTTGTATACCGTTTGATCGCATCGTTCGGTTGATAATGTTTTTTCGAATTCATCAATGTATATCAGCTTATCAAAATCTCTTTGAGGATGTGAGTATGTTTCATTAGAGTCCATACCCACACCCAGTTTCGTTATTCACAATCACTTACCTACTGGCTTTATTTAGCGTACTGTACAATGAACTATAATGTTGTTGTTTGCTGATGTACGAACGTTTTATTCTCACGAGCCAATAGTGAATGATTTTTTCGCTCTTACTTTCTTTCTTAAGTGGCTCCTTGATGGATGTTTACTTATTGTTCGGTTTTTTCTCTTTTTTCTTCTGACTCATATAGAAAAGCAATGAAGATAGTAGTCATCTTTAACACATATTCTATTTATCAGTTGGGAAAACTCAAAATACGCACGTTTTGCTGATTTATCACGATTCAAAAAAGCTGTTCAAATTATTTAGACATGATTTAGCTTCGGAGATTAGCAATGATCGAAGCAATCGCCACTAAATTTTTGAATTTCAAGGTAACAATTATATGTTTTTGTTGGGTCTCAGTCTCATTAATCAGCTGATGATAGTTACTCACAATAATTCATTTGTAGTAGGATGTAGGTGTGGTTGTGTCTGTGACTGTGGCTTTGAGTGAAGAGAAGATTCACACTCATACCCACACCTTAATTGATGCTGCATAAGAAATTTTTCTTATAGTTGTCTTTGTGAGATATTTGCAAAGAGACAGCCGTAATATGTGACAGATGTTGAAGAAAAAGACGTTATTTGTGAGCGTGCCATGGCATGGATATTTTCGGTATGAAATGGTTTTATTTTCTTGATCTGAATCCAATATGTTATGAATAAAGCGTGCCTCAGAATACATGTTGATCTCAATATTCTCTAAATATTTCTTTCAATTTTTATAGCTTTAAAATTTAACTTTTTTTAAAAAAGAGTCAATGTTTAATTCTTTGGAAACTATTGACGAGCGAATGTCATAGAATGAGAAGGAAGAGTACTTTTTGGGTAATTTCGCTTGAATTATGTTCTGATTAATATGATTTATAATAGAATTCGCTTAAAAATATAGAGTATTTAAGTATAATCTTTAATTCTGATTAGGACAACTTTTTTCTTGTTGTCTCAGCAACTTCTATTTCGCGTGGTTCCAATAAATCTTCAAATCGCTCTTATTGACTAATGATTTTTGTTTTTGGTCATTTTCTTTTTTTAAGAAGCCAATCCTGTAATTCTTTTTTTAATATCGTAACCTTTTATTGTGAGAGATTACTAAGATTAGAAGACAAAAGTTTTCTAGGCTCGAGCTTACGAAGGAACAATTTCAACTGATAAATCGCATTTTTTTTTTCAACGAAAGCTATTGAATTATTAGCTTATCAATCTTGTTGATTCCAAATATGAACATGAGATACATCTTTAGATGTTCATGAACCAATTTTCCATACCAACAAATATTTTACCAAAATTTTTTAAAATCTGATCAGATTATAGAACATCTAGAACTTTAAAAAAAGTGATATAAATTTTTATGTTTTCACTTTGAAATGTCGATGTATATCATTTGTATGAATTCAAATGGCTGTATTTTCTCCAAAAATCAGTTTGAAACAGGTAAACTTTCTTCGCAATTCGATATACTCTATAACTTGGAGGCATAAAAAACGATTTTTGGTAAACAGTTCATTACTCTGAAAAGTCAATTTTCCAGCAAACCAGCTTATGAAGATCTAAAAGCATTTCTCATGCTCATAGTTAAAATCATCACGGATTTATCTATTGAAACGATTCTGTCGTCAGATTTATATCAAGAAAAGTTCATTCTACTACAATCATTCAATATTTTCGATTAACCTAAACCTAATGTTAATGATAAATATGTTATTAAAGTCTTTGAGTTTAAGGATCAGAAATCAGTAGAATATAAAAGAAAAAATTCTCGATGTTTAATTGTCTTAAATTTTATTTTAGGCATCACAAACATCTATTATTCTTCAATGTTTTATTTGTCGAGAAGAATTTTCTTCACGTAATGCACTTTTCAAACATATGAAAGAACTTAATCATGCTAAACCGATTGAAGTTAAAACTGCAGTAAAAACGAAAACAAAAAGAAAAAAAGAAATAATAAGAATTTTCATTATTTATTTGTTATTTTTTAATAAAAAAAAATAAACAAAAACAAAATACATCTATTTTAATTTTGTTTGTTATAATAATGGTTGATATTGTTTTCTTTAGATTTTTATTGAATATAGCTGAAGAAAAAAACAAAATGGGTAAACGAAAATCTAAACGAAAACCTCCACCAAAACAAAAACGAATTGTAGCTCTTGCTGTTATATTTCCATGTCCATTTTGTTC